AGAGAAAGTGTTAGCTGAGTCTGAGTACGAGATCTGGATAGGGTTCTGTGTGAATTCTGTGAGCACGAAAAGATAAACATATATAATACAGAACACTAAGCCTTCCAAATATCCATGCTTGGATGCATCTGATGAAATGCGAAGGTAATCTTTGTAGATACTGGAAGGTTTTTAAAGCTGTAAACGCCAGAAATTATCATGGACGCTGAGAATATGCAAAGGATGATTTCCGAATCAATCAATCAATCAATCAATTTTTTGCTTCTGCACTTCGTTGTGAGCAACAGTTTTAGAGGTGAATCGCGTGTTTTAGAACGAAGAACTCTCAGCGTTCTAGCATGTATCAGAAAACAGGCTCGAAAAACCGCATCTACATATTTCTAATCTGATCGAAAGAGAAATAAGCTTCAACCATAACGTTTGTTGTACATGTTGTCCCTAGTATCACGCAGCTCGATTTGAAAAAAGAGAAACGGCGTTACGCTAAGCGAACATAGAACACAATATTCCTACACTATACACTTAGGCAGTCACTATTATTTTTTTAACTGAGACGTTATATTTAGTCATAGTTATATCTGTAACTAAACAGTAATCACCTAATCACCAAAATATCAATAAGGAATATCTGCACACGTTGAAACGGCATCTGACTGCGCTACTTTCAACAACGTACAAATTGCGTGCTAATTTTTTCCTGTCGATAAAAAAATCCTGCGGAATCGGAAAAGTGACAAGTTACTATACTGCTCTGTGCACCAGAAAGCAGCGTTACAAAACGTACTCACTAAAAAATAAAAAGAACAAAAAAGTGTGCATTGCTCCATCTGCCCCTTTCCGTCCGAAGAAACACGCTGCATGTTACAAAGTCAGGCTGTAATCAAAACAGTGCTTCGGTCACGTTAGCAAACAGGACATTGCGGCGAGATAGTTAGCATACCCGATTCTTACTGAAATTACCGTAGAATTTACAACCGGGCACATTCATTTCCTTTTAGGAACAACATTCAACACAATCGTTTTGTATCAATACCCACAATCCATCAGCGCCAAGGAAGGTCAACTTAGAATGACAACGATGATATTTTAAATATCACCGACTACACTAACAAAACAAAAATAAATTTATTTATACACATACTGCAGCACTAATTCTGCTATGGCAGGATTGGGTTTACAAGGATAGACAGAAATATAACCAAAAAGAGCGAGAATACCGCACCGAGGAAACATATTGTCGTAGGACTATTAAGGCAAAATATGAGAACATGGAAAAAAATTGCACCTTTTCCGCAAAGGCGAAACAATGAACGCGAAAGTAACAAATTGGAAGGTCACGCGCAGAATAGCAAGCACGTCGAAACGTGCCCCGCGTTTCTCACGCACAAATGACGCACCAGACGTACTCACAGGTACAGATGAACGCGAATAACCGTCTCAGATGTTACTTCGCTGTGTCTGAAAAGCGCGCCCTTTTTGTAAACGAAGGTTCTTCAACGATTGCAGTGACCTTTGTGCGTCTCGCAACTACAAAAGAATTGTTCCAGTGCAAGCCCAACGACAGCCAGGACGTATGATCCTCCCCACCGGGAGATAAGGGCGCGCGAGAGATCGCCCACTCCCCTCCTTTCCGCGGGCCAAAGTACGCAGGAGAGATGAGAGCCGCCGCGCGCTCATTGCGCCATCTTGCTGATTATGCTGAAACACGATAGTTGCCCCAGAGATGCCAACCAACAGCGGTAAGTGGTAGACATAAATAGCTTGCCGTTATAACTCTGAATGAGGTATCCCTGAGTGGCTCAGTAGTTAACGCCTGTTAATCACGACGCTGTGGTCCCGCATTCAATTCCACTCGACGGAGACCATTTTCTGATTTTTTTTCGTTATTGCGTTTTCGTACACATAGATACGTATACATATACGGTGCATGATACCGACGCCGGTGGCGAATCCAGCGGAGTGTCCATATAGTTGCTATCGCAATAAAATAACAAATACCAATTGCAAATAGATCAGCGTAAATCACACATATGCGTTCTAGATTTCGGCTACAAAACTATTCCATGGGCATGAGCGATGATTGATTGACATGTGGGGTTTAACGTTCATCATTATGAGCGACGCCGTAGGGGAGGGCTCCGGAAATTTCGACCCCCTGTGGTTCGTTAACTTGCACCTAAAACTGAGCAAATGGGCCTACAGCATTTCCGCCTCAATCGGAAATGCAGCCGCCGCCGCCGCCGCCGAGATTCAATCCAGCAACCTACGGGTTAGCAGCAGAGTACCTTAGCCACTTGACCGCCGCGGCGGAGCGATGGGCATGAACGAACGAAACCAGGTAATGAATTCCAGTCTTTGATGTAACGGGGGAAAAACTGAACTTGAACATATTGGTTCGAATGTAGTAACGCCTCAAATTTAGGTTGCTTTAGCTTTTTGTCGTTGACTGTGGCACGTTGTTTATGTATTACTTGTTGTTTGACAGTTCGACTGTAGACGAAATGATGCTTAGCAAGGATTTCAATGACTCTACTTGGCGATGCAAATGAAGTGGAGTTAGTTGCAATGAAGATAGAGTAGAAAAAAGTGAAAAATTGCGGTCGTAACGATGACATATGAATGTTACTGCTTTTTTCTGGACTGCTTTCAGTTCTTGAATCTCCCACTGCTTAAACAGGTTCAAAACAATGGACGCGTAATCCAGTACAGGACGAATTAGCCATTTATATAAGAGGAGCTTGGCGAGTTTTGGAGATTTATACAGACTGAAACGTAAACAGCCTAGCTTTTTTCAATGCTTTGTAATATATATATATATATATATATATATATATATATATATATATATATATATATATATATATATATAAATATATACATATATATATATATATAGTCATTGTGTTTGGACTATGGCATATACGCTCGTATACGATCACTTTACCAACACGCACAAAGTAAAACATCCAATTTATAGGTAAGATGACTGCTATGAATTACTTTGTGCATGGCATTGAGATACAGATTATAATATTGGCGTACAATTGAGTGGAAGGAATCATTTCAAAATTACGAAGCGAATTGTTGGCGCCCAACCTACACCCTTGCCGATGTACAGAACACTGTCTCTGGCAAGGGACAAGATGCAAAATGGTTGCTTGCAGTAAGCTTATTTAAGAGTGCTGCTTTCATTTGCGGGTGGTAGCACTGTTACAAGTTATTTTTTCGTATTTCTCGGGCTTTTTTTATCAACAAAAATAAGCATGCAAGTAATACTTTCTGGAAGGTAGCACGGTAAGATATCATTTCAACATGCGCACATATTCCTGAGTGAAATTTTGTTAGTTTGGCGAGTACTTCTTGAGTTACAAAGATATTTATGATTATTTATTTATTTTTCACAAAAAAATTATCACTGACTCTTAAAATGTAATAGCAACAATATGTACGGGGTTCGCTTCGCGTTACCATATTGCTTTCTTTTTTTTATCCTGTTGCATGATATTTGGCGCTTTCTACAGCGATGTGTGGCGCTCTCAGACTACGCGAGATATATGTAGTGAGGCACGTACTCACGTATTGAAATAAGACTCTCAAAGTTGTGGCCGCCGGTACACGTACACTTGTGGATGCTCATGAAACCAAGGTGTTACACGCATTGTTGCGTATAATGATGAGGAAGAAAACATCTACGCTGAAGGATTGCTGCTTCCTATCACCAACGAGTCGGCCACCCGTAGCGTATCATGTGCAGACTGCCAGCGTGGCGCTGAAAAATTTGTGCATTTTCGCACGCCGACTGAACTGGCTCGCCGGTGTGCACCACTTTAATTGCGGTGCGAGCAGACGACTCATTCTACGCGCTTTGGCGATGACGCATGCATGCTGTGCAAGTAACACACGTGATTCAGCTAAAAAACTGTGCCCTGTGTGCGTTCACGGGCATGATAAACATCTGCACAAGAGCACAGATAATTTGTTTGGTGTTTTGTGACGACAAAAGAAGAAAAGAACGCATTCCTGTCTTCGCATAACATTGAAAGAGTGTCTTAGTATTTTTGTTTATTCACCCCAAGCATGAAGCCAATGCTGCGGCCATTCTCTGCAGCAAACTTTCTGTGAGGCTATATCGGCTATGGCCACACTGGCAGTGTGCACATGGTGCACTACAGGCCGGCCCGTTGGCGACCGCAAGCTGCAATCCTACTCCGCAGGTGCTCTCCCTCTCCTTTTATATACCCCAATGCAACAACTTGGTTCCACGAGAACCCACGAGTGGCGCTACATGCATTTATCACCCCCGCTCTGAGCGTCTTATTTCAGTCCATGAGTACCTGCCTAGCCAAAAATATTGTTTGACGATATCATATAAGTGTACTCCTGCAAGTGTATTCTTCGGTCAGCGTTAGAATGTGAAATAAGCAGGCAAATTATATGATATTATCGACCCTCCTTTGACCCCAAAAGAGCGTGTATGCTTGAGCAAAATGCGCCAGCGTGATGGAACGTCGCAGCGGTGACCTTCATTTGGCGAAAGCTGGAAAGCCGCAGTGGCACATATAACTGCGAATACTCCTCCTGGTTTCACAGCTTACGTGAGCGAATATCTATACTGAGAGCGAAATCCTGATAAAAGAAATGTTTGCGAGAGAAAAATGTATTCCCTAGCTTCTGCTCTCGCTTCGTGGTCTACATTTAGGGGGTGATTAATCTTCGAGAAGATCCGCGCGTGGTAGTTTTGCGCAGCACTTCATTATATACATTAGATAACAAGTAAAAACACAGAAAAATGTAGTGGAGGACGTGAACTATGTAAGCTGAAAACAAAACTTTTGGGCTGAACTCCGCACCCAATTTGTAAACCAATTATTAGCGATGCCTCCAGGCTTGTCGCCAGCACACCCCATCCTGTTTATTGTTATTTTTCATGGAATATATCAACGGCCACCCCTCTAGTGACACTCTCTCACCCACGAGAAATGAGGAACACAGTGCCTTACCTGCTGCTCTTTCTCGTACTCAAGCTTGATGCGCGCCTCGATGCACTCTTGGGTGGAGGCGAAACTGCGGCTCTGCGCTGCATCTCGCATGTGGCGGTGGTACCAGCCCACAGCCGTCGCCATCGCCAGGAATAACGAAGCGGCGGCAACCTGCGCACGACATGTACCAAGCGTTGACGTAGATGTTAATGTTGGTCACTCTGATGAACTAGTTCTGAAAGCTTTCATTTACAATAGTTGAAGGTGCCTGTGCGGCAATTATAAAAACGTGGGTGCCGTTCTGCTACAAATTAAACCCTGTTGGTTCTTTCTACAAGCGTTCAAATATGACCTTTAGGCATACTGTGCAACTACTTGGTTGATTGGATGCTGCCTTCGGCCACGAATAAAGTAATTTTGGGGACAAAGAACACGCCAAGCACGTAGGCAAAGGAGAGGGGGGGGGCAGCCCCCCTCCTCAAAATTCGTCCAGTCAGTCATATTTCCCGGCAACTTTTTTCCTCTTTGCTATGAAAAGACTTTTTTTTCTAATTATTAGGCGTTGCCCCCCTCACCCTCCCCGAAAAAAAAATCTTGTCCAGCAACATACCGTAGAGTGTGGACGACGTCTGTCTATACTGGTCGATCAGCAGCAAACTACACGAGCAGCCCAAGCTGAGCGTAACTTCTGGCTGTTTGATACGTATGTTTGTTCTATTAAAGAAGCTTAACCAGTTTATTTTGCGGGGAGGGGTATGAAGAGAGGGAGGTTCAACAGTACTGCATGGATGTCCATGCGTGCGTTGGTATGTGTGAGCGTATATAAAACACGCACGTTTGAAATTGAAATATTTCACTAAGGTTAAACCCCCTTCCGCACTCACCCACGACCCCTGGCTACGCGAGTATTCTAATACGGCGCACAGATCACAACCCTGAGACATGACAATGCACACTATTATTTATGGCATTTGTCTGTTTTCCAGTGAAGATAGCTCCTACTCCTTGCAGAGTTCTGTCCAACAGGTGTGATGAGATTATTAATTGGGGTTTAGCTTAAAAAAAGCGTTCTTTGGGAAAGAAGTAGGCTAATTGAAAGCGTAAAAACACAAGTACCGCACTCGGGTGTGCTCTTGTTCACCATTATTATGCGCTTTATTTTGCAGCTTACGGTAATCATAAGTCTTCTCTCACATAAAAACTTGCAGCAAAATAGAATTTTGGGTGAGTCTGAGTAAGGTCATATTTTTCTGCCCACCTATGGCTACATGTCAACAAGAACCAAATTTGTATCTAAGATTGACAGCTTTTCTGTAGCTCAGTACACCTGCCTCCTGCAGTCACCAAAGAAACTGAAAAAAAAAAATAAAATGAAAAAGACAAGTTGAAAAAAAAATAGTTCAATTTGTCTGAAGTTTTGTTTTAAAGCGTTTTTTGCATGTTCAGAGCGGCGACAGAATAAGAAGTACAACAATCTTTGTTTATATACACCTAATTTAAACCAACCCATCGTTTAAACCGACCATGCTAGTTGAGCAGGTAAGGTCAACTACTGCTACACTCCTGGACTTGAGTTCGAATTCCGGCCACTGCGGCGCGAAAAAAAAAAAACGCGTAGATTTTAGGCGCACACAAAAGAACCTCATACAGTACAAATTGCTCGGGAGCCACTCATTACGGTATACCTGGTTATATGGTGCTACTGGCACGAAAACTCCCGAAATTAACTAGTCTATTGTCTCATAATACATAGACAATGGCCCAACGAAAAGGCCTATTGAAACAGCACTGTGCTGCTTAAAGATTAAGGAAGGTGTACGACATCTTAAACGAGTTAAAATTTCTGCAGTTTTTTTATTATGAAAGACATTCGGGGCTTGCAAGAATAGAAGGAACCGAGGCAGCACAGAACTAATTATTGCCAAACTCAGAAGTGTGTTATTATTGCATGCGATCTCAATCGAGTTTTCGCTATGTACGCTGACGCAAGAAATACGTAAAAATTAGGCCACTGAGGCCTGCTCTCACCAAACTACCTGTATTTTTACTCATAAACAATTCTCTATGAACATGCTTCCAGATTACTCTATTTAATGTTATACAATCAGGCGCCGAAAAACTGAACGTACAAAAAATATGACCTTCACTATTTAGTTAGAGTGAAGAACATAATGATAACTAATTTATTCCTTATGGTAACCTTTGAGATATAATAGCTGAGGCATCGCAGCGCTAATATCATTGCTAAGAATTCAGCCTCAAATACTGTAACCAAGATAAAAATTGAAATGTAGAAATAACCTGTAATGAATAATAGAAAAAAATGGGCATACCCCACATTTCTTTATAATTTGAAACCTCTGTGACATTGTCTGTACGAAAAACTATACGCTTGAAACGGTCGCACGATATTTCATTTACGTATACGGCCGACTCTTTTATACCATTTATATCAGACTGACGATATTAAACAAGCACCTTCCTGCTTTCGAGGCTGAACGAACACTACCTGAGGGGAGTGGAATCACGTTTTATGGAAACGTTGCGATACATCGGCTACGACTCACTCTGTGATGATTCCGCCCGAACCTTGAAAGCTTTCAATCTCTACGTATACGCTCTCAATTATGCTTGACGGCTGAACGCACAAATAGAGCCGTTCTCCAACCATCCTGCTCTGTTGCCATTATTCGTGATGATGAGTTAGCCCCATACCTCACACATCTTAGTTTTAATGGTTGGTGATATTTGGGGAAAGGTTTATGATAACATACGAATTTCAACTTTATAATACCTTGAGAATGTTCATGCAGACTTGCACAAGCATAAGTACCACAGCTTTTTTTTAACTCGTCTTATGTAACACAGACATGAGTACTTTCCCTCACTTTTTAGCCCTTTGCGGCCCTGTTGTCGGGCCCCTACCGCCGACTCAACACAACCACAGCGGCTCGTGATCAGGCACTGCTAGACATATTGTTTCGTGGTTGATTCGCGTAGACCTCTTTCCATTGCATTATGCGTCCTCTCTAAATATTAAAAAAAAACATTTGTAACTGCGAAGCGAACTTCTTAGCGAACTTTGACTTTGAGCGTATCTATCTATCTATCTATCTATCTATCTATCTATCTATCTATCTATCTATCTATCTATCTATCTATCTATCTATCTATCTATCTATCTATCTATCTATCTATCTATCTATCTATCTATCCATGCCGTTTACGACATTTAGCTCTCCTTGCCGTTTTGATAATGGTATCGATACCAAATTGGTATGGAATAACATGATGGTATGACGAGCATAAGTGATTAGTGGTAACATGAAACTCATGACATGTATGTCATGAATTTCATTAATTGCATTTCATGTTCTTCATGTTCTCGCGGTGGTTGCGTTCACATAACATGTTGCTAAAATCGTATGGTATACATGTCTGCAAGGCGAACAGACTCGGCAGACCCTAACGTGGAAATCATGACATGCATGTCATGTAACAACATGACTACATGGAACGCGCATGTGGTGCTCGCGGCCGTTTCACTTGCTTGACATATACCAAAAATATTTGGTATTACGTGACGCGAACGGCCGACGAAGGTAAATTACTCGTCCAAACATGACAATCGTGACATGCGTGTCGTGTAACAACATGACTACTTGCCACTCCTCATGATGCGCTCGCGGCCATTTCGCTGGCTTCAAATTTACCAAACTTCGTATTACGGAACGTGAATGAATGAGGAAAATGGGTGACTGGTGCAAACATGATAATCATGAGATGCGTGTCATGTAACAACATAACTACACACCACGCTGATGATGCACTCACGGCCGTTTCGTTAGCTTCACATATAACAAATTTGGTATTACGTGACGCGAACGGACGAAGAAGATAAATTACACGTCCAAACATGATATTCACAATATGCTTGTCATGTAAAACATGACTACGTGCTACGCTCATAGCGCGCTTACGGCCCTTTTGGTAAGTGGACATATACAAAATTCGGTATCACGTGAAGTGAGTAGACGACGAAGGTAAATGACACGCCCAAACATAATAATAATGACATGCGTGTCATGTAAAACATTAAATAATGGCTCGTGGCCGTTTCGCTAGCTCCACATATACGAATCACGTGACGTGAATAGACGACAAAGATGAATGACACGTCGAAAGATAATAATCATCGCATGGAAGTCATGTACGGCATAATTAGCGCCCGCTTCGTAGCGCTGTGCTGACGTTAAAGAGTGCAGATGCTAAACAGCAAGCCCTTGCTACGGGCTTGCTGTTTTATTCTGACTTCGTTCTCATCTACCTCGCAGTCTAGCATCTAGCGTGCACCCGCGCCCCACTGACGCTGTAATCCTTACACTGGGCCATGACTGCGACGTAGCATGGCGAGCTGCGGATTGTCTCTGGCGGGCGACAGTGACTGTACTCGATTGGTTGTTGTTTGGAAGGTCACGAAGTGTCTTGTTGAAACGCTGAAGACTCAGGCAGTCGAGCTTAGCTGCCTCGTTGTCTCCACAGGTCTCAGCCACGCTGAGACATCGCAGGGAGAGCTGCGGAAGTCGTCTCTGGCGGGTGGCCTTGACTAAGCCATGGTTGTCGTTTTTGCGTATGCCAGGACTTGACCTGTTGTGCTGCGAAGCATTCTGGTGAGCGACTGTGTCAGGGTAGTTGGTGCAGGTCTCGTCTAAGCTGTGAATGAATGTCATCACGTGTGAAGTAAGGGGCACACACTGAGCGGATACTTCTTCACCGTTCTTTCTGCGTTTAGGGGCTACAAGGCTGCAAATTTGATATTGGTGGCATCACAGGGCAACGTTCACGTACTGGCTTGTGAGGTAGGTTGTTACCTTGCGGAATTGCCGACGTCTTACTGCTGGTTGCTTCTGACAAAGTGTGATATGTGGTCAAGTGATCGTGGTCAGAACCCTTATAATCAGGTGAAACCATGTGTTGTGCCAGCAGGTCTTCTGTGATAATATCCCCAGACGCAACTGCCCCTTCGGAATCTCTTAAAGAGACAGACCTCTGCAAGTGGTTAGCGTCAGCACGCTCGGCCAATGACTGCGTTGATGACCGCAATTGATGTAGCTCCGAAATTTGCATCAAACCGGGAGTGGTGGCGAGTGCCTCGTCTCCAGCTGGACTGA